GATTGGTCTGTGAAATTTGATGGTGCGGCAAGAAAAGTTTGAGGTTGATGAAAAGTAGGAGGTGGTGGTGGAGGTTGATTGTTGTTGGAAGAAGATTGAGTAAAAGATTGACTTGGAGTTGAATTTCCCTGAAAAGTTTGATCAAACCTATAGTAGCATTGAAGAACCGTATGCCCAAATCTTCCACATAGTTGTCAAATTTGTCGATTTCCAAGCTGCCAGGAGTTTCTTCCTCCTCTAGAAAAACGACCACCACGACCACCTCTTCTACCTCCATAATTTCTGTTCTGGAAATTAGATGAAGAAGATGAATTATGAACCAAATTTGCTTGAGCAGTGATTAAGGACAATTGTTTGAACTTCTCTATGTTGATTTCATGGTTGAAAAGAAGATTTTGTACTTCTCCAATGGTAAATAGCTCTGGCTTGGACTGAACAAGGGACATGTGATTAGAATATTCTTCAGGCAGCCCCTCACAAATAGCTTCTATGTGTTCTTCATTTTTAAGCTTGTGACCAACAGCAGCTAGAGCATTAACTAATTTCTTGATCTGAGTCAAGTATTCTTTGATAGAAAGATTCTTCTTTTTCAGATTCTTGAGTTGAGTTCGATATTCTTTTATCTGAGCCTTGTTAATTTCTGCAAAATAGGATTGAAGATCTTCCTAGATTTCGAAAGCATTTGAGCAATGAGCAATTCGATTCTTGAGATCGGAATCAACTGAAGCCATAAACCAGGAACACAAATTGTTGTCATTTTGTTTCCATTCTTTAAATTTTGTAGATTTAGTGCCTGCAGTTTTTGCATCATCTGAGTCAAATTCAGAAGGAGCTTTTCCTTCAAAGATGTGATCTTCAAGACTTTGTCCACCAATTGCAAAAAGAGCTTGTCTCTGCCACGTGATATAGTTTGAATCATTGAGTTTATCAGCAATTGGAATGAGGAAATTCTTTGTAGTAACAGAAGGATTGACAATTGGATTCGGTAGAGCCATGGATCCTTAGAAAGCTCTTGATACCATGTGAAATTGCCAAGAACACTTCAAGAGAAGTTT